CCACCCATCCATCCATCTATCCATCCACCCATCTACCCATTCATTCATCCACCCACCCACCCATCCATCCATCCATCCATCCATCCACCCATCCATCCACCCACCCATCCACCCATCCACCCATCCATCCATCATCCACCCATCTACACATACATCCATCTACCCACCCATCCATCCACCCACCCAACCATCTATCCATCCACCCATCTACCCATCCATCTATTCACCTGTCCATCCATCCATCTATCTGCCTTCCTATATGTCCAYCTACCCATTTATCCAACTTTTCATCAATAGATGTTTGGTGGGTGCTTCTTGTAGACACTCTAAATAGCGGGGCTCACAGTTCAGTCTGGGGATCCAGCAAAACAAAGTGTATTCCAATAATTGTTACATTTAGGCTCTTGGAGATATCTCTGGATGATGGTGTTTTTGTTGTTGTTGTTAGTTTTTGATGATCTGTTTTATAAAGTGTGTTATCACTGGCCTCCCGCGGCTCCCAGAGGTCACTCTGTGCTTTATAATCATCACCTGCTCTAACAGCCCGACCGAGGGAACTGGACGTAAAAACTTGGTGTTCTGATTAATCCCTGTTTGTGCGCAGCAGGGTCTGCGTGTGGGTGGTGTGGTTGAGGCTGGGCTGTGGGTCAGGGACCAAGGTCACACATGGCTGTGGATCTTGTGCAGCAAGGGGGACCCCCTGGGACCCAGGCTCTGGCTCTCCTAGTCTACAGGTCACAGTTTACACTGCCACTGTCCCTGGGCCCCAGGTCTGCTTTGTGCCGTGTGCCGTGTGCAGAGTGAAGTCTTGGCGGGGCTGGTGTGCAGCTCCCCGTGCCTGCATCAGGGCATGGCGGTGAGGGCCAGGAGGACCCAGGAGCTCCAGCTGGGGACGTCTCTGCTGGGCCCCTGCTCGTGGAGTGATAGCAAAAGAGGGTGCCAGGCTGGGGCAGGAACCTCAGCGTCCCAAGGCTCTGTGTGGCTCCGGGTGGCCCGTGCCAGGGTGTCACCTAGGCCACTCATTAACCCACCACCACAGGCACCTCCCACAACAGCGAGGCGCGGTGGGTGCGAGAGGCCTGTGGTGAGCGCGTCCTTCTCTGTTTGCAGCAAGTTCACAGGCAACTTCTTCTACAACTACATGATGGGCATCGAGTTCAACCCCCGCCTCGGGGAGTGGTTTGACTTCAAGCTCTTCTTCAACGGGCGCCCTGGGATCGTGGCCTGGACCCTCATCAACCTGTCCTTTGCAGCTAAGCAGCAGGAACTCCACGGCCAGGTGACCAACTCCATGGTCCTGGTCAACGTCCTGCAGGTGAGGCCCACAGGGACGAGGGCCAGAGCTCTGACCCTCGGGCCTCGGCAGCCCAGGAGCCAGAGTCCCCTCCCAGGGCGTGGCCAGGAGCCCTTCCTTCTGACCACCGTGGCCCCTCCTCGTCCCCTCCTGGGCTCAGACCCTGTGATGGGGACTCCCCCCACCCCAGCATGGCAGGAAGAGCCGGCAGTGCCGTGGCGGGTTGACRTCAGGGTGGCGGCGGCCCACGCGCTCCTGTCCCGCAGGCCCTGTACGTGCTGGACTTCTTCTGGAACGAGACCTGGTACCTGAAGACCATCGACATCTGCCATGACCACTTCGGCTGGTACCTGGGCTGGGGCGACTGCGTCTGGCTGCCCTACCTGTACACGCTGCAGGTGAGGAGCGGGGCTGGCCAGCCTCTCGGGACTCGGGGACCACCCCAGGGCCCAGGGCCGACCCTGCGCACACACTGCACCAAGTGCCGAGGTGTCTGTCCCTGGGGGGCCACTGAAGTTGTCCCCGCTCCTAGGAAGAAGGGAAGGTGCTGTGTTATGTGGCTCCCCGACTTACTATGGGGTCCTGTCCTGAGCAGCCCGTCCTGGTGGAGAATACCAGTCAGAAGTGCCCTCTGAGGCAGTGGGGATGCACGAGGCCGCAGCCACGCCACAGTCCCGGGCCTGCCCCAGGGCTGAGCAGGAGTGAGGAGCCACAGCGTGGATCGTCCTCTGGGACCGACTGGGGAGGTGGTGTCAAAGCCAGTCACAGGGCCCTGAGGAGATGGCTGTTCCTGGCAGAGGGTGGGGTGAGGGTAAAGGCCCTGGCGTCGTGGTGACTGCAGGTCTGCCAGGGCCTGGCAGCCCACCAGGACCTGCTCCTCCACTTGGCTGGCCGCGGGCTCGCTGGGTCTGGGACTGCCTCCATTTCCAGGCGCTGAACTGTGGGAGCACAGTCCTCCTTGGGGACTGGGCCTTGATTAGTGGCTTGAGCCTGGGTAGGTGCTGTGTCCAGGTCAGTGCAGGACCAGGGCCATCCCGAGGCCTGCTCRTGCCCATGTCTGGGAGGCACGGCTCACCCGTCCCTCTGGCCCCTGCAGGGCCTGTACCTGGTCTACCACCCCGTGCAGCTGTCCACCCCCCACGCCGTGGCTGTGCTGCTGCTGGGCTTGCTGGGCTACTACATTTTCCGGATGGCCAACCATCAGAAGGACCTGTTCCGCCGGACAGACGGGCGCTGCCTCATCTGGGGCCGGAAGCCCAAGGCCATCGAGTGCGTGTACACGTCGGCAAACGGGCAGAAGCACCGCAGCAAGCTGCTGGTGTCAGGCTTCTGGGGCGTGGCCCGCCACTTCAACTACACGGGCGACCTGATGGGCAGCCTGGCCTACTGCCTGGCCTGTGGCGGCGGCCACCTGCTGCCCTACTTCTACATCATCTACATGACCATCCTGCTCACCCATCGCTGCCTGCGGGATGAGCACCGCTGTGCCAGCAAGTACGGCCGCGACTGGCAGCGCTACACCGCTGCCGTGCCCTACCGCCTGCTGCCCGGGGTCTTCTAGGGGCCCAGGAGCTCCGGGAGCCCAGCACCCTCACCTTGAGACAGAGCGCCCGGCCTTGTGCCAGGGGGTTCTGGGTTCACCGCTGCCTCCCGCCAGCAGGCCGCGGGCGCCCTCTGGTCTGCCCCCAGGGCAGGAGGGACGGCCCTTTGTAACTGTACACGTGGGAGCCCAGGCTGCCGCTCTGCTCAGGCGAACCGCAGCTGAAGCCCTTCAGGCCATCTTGTCCCCAAGGCGAGGACGGCTCTGACGCCTTCGAGAGAAAAGTGGGACCAGGAGCTGCATGGAGCAGGCTGCCCACACCCACCTCACGTCCGCTCTGTGGCCGTGGGCAGGCCCTGGGGACAGCCCTCCTTCGCCGCCTGCACACTGGTAGCTGGTCAGCGGAGGGCCCGAGGGACGCCGCAGAGCCAGGGCGTCTGGTGGGTCTCCTTTTGCTCCTGCTGCACAGCCGCCAGGGGTGTGGCATGGGGACCCCAGGGGTACTGCCTGTGCAGGACCAGCCAGCCCAGCTGTGGCCTTTCTGAACTAAGGTCACGGGCTCCCCGTGCTCGGCTCCGGGGAGGTCACCCACCAGCCTCGGCCGCCTGCCCGTGGAAGGTGTGTCCTGCCTGCTGCTGACCCTGTGTGACTCTGGCTCAGAGAGCGCCATCCCAGGCCTCGCCGTGCCTTCGAGGACTCCCCGCTCTGGAGGGGCTCCCTTCCAGGGCTTTCCTTACCAGCACTGTCCCCGACTCAGGGTTTTCTGAAAGCTCTTTAGACCTGATTCCACAGCACAGCTGCTCCTTCTTTTATATTAAACGTCCCCTGTTCAAATGAGTCACAGTGTGCCTTCTGTCCCCGGGTGGCCCCTCCCGTCCTAGGACTGTTTCTGGGTGCAGACCCAGGGACTGGTGAGCTGAGGGCCTCCACGTGGGTGCTCGGCTGGAGGTGGGGCGTCTGCTGCCGCCACCAGTGGAGAAACCACGCTTGGCACTCGCCCAGCAGGTGGACACAGGTGGGAGGCAGACTAGCATGTGACCCTGTCTGTCTCCCCTTCTGACCAGTGTGGTATCCTCACTCTGTGATCTGGTTGCCTGGGTAACCCGGACAGTAGCCCCAATCTTCCTACACCCCCACGGTGGAGCTACGCCCACCTGTTCCTCTGTGACATTACCCCTTGCCCTGTTGGGGACAGAATGTTCCATGGAAACTCCCTTTGTGTCCCCTTCTCTGGCTCTGCCCTGGGGTGTGGCCTTCCTAGGTGTCAGTCAACCTGCCGACAGCAGACATCATGAGGCTCRACTTGGCCCCTGAAACCTGACCCCTGGCCTCATTTGAATGGCTTCTCCTTGGTACTTTTACCAAGTGGTCAGCACGTCTAGGCTCATGCTCGCTCTTTCTGTGGACCCTTAAGGTCAGAGGAGCCGTCACAGGCATTTCTGACTCTTGTGTGGTCACTTCACGCAGCCCAGTTAGCCCAGTTCCCCCGGAGTGACCCCTGAGTGTTTTAGCAACCTGGCAGTTGGCGTCCCTGGGCGGGCGAGAGGTCTGCGTGTTTAAGTCACGGGGAACCCGACAGACAGAATCCGGAGAAGGCCCGGCCGTCTGCTCTGGAGAGTGGAGGTGAGGCGCGCAGAAGCCTGTGCCCACTCCCCAGCGCAGCCTGGCCTGCTTCGGGGTTCAGCTGGTTGGACAGAGACAGCTGCTCCAGGGTTGAGCTGTGGGGCCTGCCAGGCTGGCTCCAGCAGGGGTTCCTGGCGCCCCACCCTGCCTGCCTGAGAACCAGGGGCAGGAGCTCCAGCCTCCCGCCCTCCCCACACACTGAACGGAGCCTTTTTGAGGAGGCTGAGGTATGACTGTGGGCTCAGGTCCTGGACCCAATTCTGACACTGCCCTTTAAAGGCTGTGTGGTCTTGAGCAGATGACCGAGCCTCTCTGCGCCTCCCTGGAAAAGTGGGGTGAGCTGTCGTCTGGCTGCCTTGCTGTGAGGGGGATTTCCCAGACTCGTCTGCGGGGGCTCTGGGCTCAGGTGCTGGAGGTGCCTCTTGTCCACTGGCCAAGGCTGTGCCCAGGGAACACCGGGCCACACGAGCTGCTCCCCTCAGCCACCAGGCCGCGCCCTGCTCGTGGGGCCGAGCCCTCCCGGGGCCAGGACAGGTGTGCCAGCCCCTGCGGTGGGCCGGTACAGGTGACACTCACTGTTGGAAAGGTCACAGCCTGGGCTTCTCGGAAAGTGGCCTGGCTCGTGGCCCCCAGGGGACCCTGCTCCTGACGGGGTGCTGTCCTTTGTGCTCCACCAGGCACCAGACAGGTCGGACCAGTGTGGGAACCTGCAGGGAGCGGCCCTCCCCTGAGGACGGGGAGGCAGTCAGGCCTGTCCTCCCTACCGCCTTGTGACAGGCCACAGGCCAGCGTGCCCCTCCAACCTGCTTTCACCTCCTCTGGGGACGCAGGTGATCCAGTAGGACTTGTTCCCCTCCGTCCCCAGAGGCGGCGGGCAGGTTGCACCCATGGCACCGAGCCTGGGGTTTGAAGCAAGTGGCCCCCATGTGGGTGGCGGAGGCCGAGTGTCGAGACGAGGGTCTTGGTTTCTGTCCTGCTGAGGGACGAGGAGAGGAGACCCAAGGCCGAGACAGGTGTGTGGCACAGCCTGTGGCCATGGTTGGGAACGAGGCTTGACGGTTTCCACACTGCCGAGAGAAGTGTTCTCCCCACAGGAAATAAGTAGGTCAGGTGCCATCACCCGCCAGCTAGCTGGCCGTCGCCCAGCAGTGGGCATCAAGAGGACGCCCCACATCCTGTCCACATCATTGGGCTCGTTCCCCAGGTTCTGCCTCCTCCACCCAAACAGCCCCGATGGGAAACAATGAGCAGGCGGCAGCCTGGCTGGTCACACACGAGAGACTTGTCATCATGCCCCGAGCCACGCTGAGTAACCACCGTCTAGGAGACGCCCTGCCGGGCTGGGCACGGGGCTGTCCCAGGGAGCCGCGCCATGGCCCAGGTCCTGGGCAAATACCAGGCCTTTTTCTATAAGGAAAAAGAGGCCGCGGACTYAGAAACCGGGGGACGGCTGTACAGTTTCTGTCATTTAGAAATAAAATTAAAAATACTGGGCGGAGGCTGGGGCTCAGTGGTGGAGACTCGCCTGGCACGTGTGGGGCCCTGGGTTCGAGCCTCAGCACCACATAAAGAGGAATGAAGGTATCCTGTCCACCTACAACTAAAAATATTTAAAAAAATACTAATGACCAGTGAAGGTCTGAAAACTGTGCACTTTCTCCTGYGACCACAAGGCCAGACACCAACAGTGCACGGTCCCAGCTCAGGCGGCCAACCAGCGACCCTGGACAGACCTGCACAGGTCTACCTGCCCCTCCCAGGATGGGGGTCGACCTGGAGGTGGGCCCAGGGAGTGTGGCCTGGGCATGCAGGGACACCGCAGGAGGCCCTCAGCCGTGGCTGGGCCTCTCCCGGGCACAGGGCCAGGCCGTGCTTTGGTTTTCTGCGGATTTTCTTTCACGAGCGATTTTTAAAAGCTGTGAATGCACAGTGACTGCACTCTTGGAGGTTTATCCTGGGGAAATGAGAACTCTGACCCGGCAGGGGACTTGCCAGAACCTTCTCGGCAGCTCTCCAAGAGCCGGAGGCGGCCTGGGAGCGTTCCCGTGGCTGACTCCTACTCGGCGTCATCACCACGTGGAATTCTGTTACCATGTGGGGAAGTGCGTGCACTTTTAAAATTGTGCAGACTACCTCAAAATAAAATTTAAAGAAACATAATGCGTCACAGTGCGCCCCCCCACTGTCATCCCCACCGGGTTCAGAGCAGCGCCCGCCCTGCCTGGAGCCAGCCCTGGTCACCATCCGGGGATGGACACACAGGTTCAGGTCTCCAGGAGGATCTGTGCTTTGGAAACAGGGATGACAGCCACCTGCTCAGCTGCCTGCAGCTTTGTCACTCTCTGAGAAATGACCTGTCTCTCCACGTCAGCGACGGCCCTGGTTTTGAGAGCTTGGTGGGATTCTTTTAGGTAGATTCACTTATCAAGTCCCCTTCTGCTTTTCAAAACTTAGTCACAGTGTTGAAAAGCAGCAGGGGACTTGTTAAGTGATCACTTTGAAACACCAACCTGAGGCCCTTGAWCTTGGTGGTGGTGGATCCAGCACCCCCTGGGGCTCAGTGCGCTCTGAGCAAACAGGTGATCGGAAAGTCAAGATTTTTAAACCATTTACTAAAACAGCAAAGTCCACAGTAAAACCTTACCATTGTAGGAGACTTGCTTACACTGGAGACCGTACTTGGTCTTGTTTAAGACAGGATGACCACGTCTAGGAACCTGGAGACCCGGGGGTCCCCACACCACAGCCATCGGAAGAAGCATCTTTTCAATAAACCAACGAAAAATTTTAAATACCGAAACGTTTGGGTCAAATATAGGCTCAAATGGGGAAATTTTGAGTTTTGATTCTCGACTCACATCTTATAAAATGGAGGTGGATTGCTAATCTACATGGGAAAAGCAAGCAAAATCTTTTTTAAAAAAGCAAAGGAATGATTTGGGTTAGACAAGGTTACAATGAGTGATAAGAGGACTCGTCGCAAACAGAAATTGGCTTCGGATGAAATCCAGGACTTCACAAAAAGAAAACGGGCAGAGGGTGAGGGGCGGCTCACAGGAGGGGACGGGGCTGGCGTGGGCCCTCCCAACGGCAGGGACTCAGCCCAGGGTGCAGAAGGGCCCTCATGACCCGGACGGAGGTGACCGCCAGGGAACCCTTGCAGGAGGAGGCAGCCTTAAGCGAGATGACCCCTGAGCCATGGGGTGGGGTGGACGTGCCTGGCCACTGGGAAGTCAGAGCCACCAGGAGCTCTGCGGCCGTGCCGGAGTGACGGGACCTCGGGCCTCCCTGGGCGAGGAGAGAGGGCGCTCTGCCCTGGCTCCTAAGGGTACAGTGGTGACCCTGAGACGGTGGTGGGGATCACTGCGGGGTCCCCGCTCTGTCCTAAGAACATGATCAACAGAGCCGGAGGCTCCATCTGATGTTCACCATGGCCAGAGCTGCCACGGCCACCCCTGGCACAGCCGTCCTGCAGGAGTGTGCCCAGCTGCTGACCGCTCAGCCTCAGGCTCTGCCACCGTCACCCATCCTGGGGGTTGAGGATCGTGGCTGGAACCGCCTCACGCCACTCTCCCACCATGTGCCTTTAGACTGCCCATCACCTGGGCCTTGAACGGGCTCCTGGTCCCCACGGCGGAGCTCTGCCGTCCAGTGTCACCCTTCTCTGGAGACTTTCTCTAACTGTCCTCCAGGTGGGCAGTGTCTTGGGGGAACCGCATGGCCATGCCTCAAGGCCGAGCCCTCTTGTCGCTGGCCAGCAGGCCGACGTCAGGGCACGTCCCCAGGGTGAGACAATCACGCCCCTCCAGAGACAGGACAAGAGCGTACAGGGCCAGCACCAGAAATAGGAGGAAGTGGACGCGACCTCAACGTCCACCACAGAAGAACGAATGTGGTACAGCGGGGGACGGAGGCCACACAGCGAGCAGGGACCCGTGGGGCAGGAAGGCAGCCCAGCAGCATCGTTGACCCCCAGACGGAGCCAAGGAAGCCTGACCGCGGGGTCAGCGCTGCGGGGTTCCAGGGTCATCCCGTCACCACAGAAGAAGCAGAGGGTGGGGTGTTCTCCAGGGCCCGGTGCCAGGCGGGACAGTGTCATGGAAGGACGCAGAGGGCCAGCCCTGTCTCTCCTGGTCACTCAGGGGTGAGAGGCCACCGGAGATGCACACCAGCCTTCCAGGCCAGCACCTC